CCTAGAGTTACAAAAGGATTTTTTAGAAATTATATAGGATTATCAAACAAATATATCTGACCTTAACAAGAAAAAAAGAAAATGAATAGATGTTTACTTTCAACATATAATCTGGACAGGAATCTTCCAAGATCCAGTTTGAAGCCTTTCGAGAATAATAAGCCGCGGTATCTTTCAGCATATCTGCTTCAAAGTCATTCTCACAATGATCCATTTGTCCCATTCCGATCTCAACAAATATATCCAAAACAAAGTCATTCTCACAATATATCCATTTGCCGCATTCTTATGAGATGATCCAGCTTCTTATGGGCTGATAATCTGCATACATACCCATCATTTGTTATGGATGAAGATCAAGCTGACTATTATAGCTAAAGTATATATAGTCAGCATATCTTCATTTGCTCATAAATAATCAAGAAGAGGGACTGCCCCCTATAAGCTCGCAATTGTAAATATAGTCAACATATCTTTATTTGCTCATAAATAATCAAGAAGAGGGACTGCCCCCTATAAGCTCGCAATTGTAAATATAGTCAACATATCTTTATTTGCTCATAAATAATCAAGAAGAGGGACTGCCCCCTATAAGCTCGCAATTGTAAATATAGTCAACATATCTTTATTTGCTCATAAATAATCAAGAAGAGGGACTGCCCCCTATAAGCTCGCAATTGTAAATATAGTCAACATATCTTTATTTGCTCATAAATAATCAAGAAGAGGGACTGCCCCCTATAAGCTCGCAATTGTAAATATAGTCAACATATCTTTATTTGCTCATAAATAATCAAGAAGAGGGACTGCCCCCTATAAGCTCGCAATTGTAAATATAGTCAACATATCTTTATTTGCTCATAAATAATCAAGAAGAGGGACTGCCCCCTATAAGCTCGCAATTGTAAATATAGTCAACATATCTTTATTTGCTCATAAATAATCAAGAAGAGGGACTGCCCCCTATAAGCTCGCAATTGTAAATATAGTCAACATATCTTTATTTGCTCATAAATAATCAAGAAGAGGGACTGCCCCCTATAAGCTCGCAATTGTAAATATAGTCAACATATCTTTATTTGCTCATAAATAATCAAGAAGAGGGACTGCCCCCTATAAGCTCGCAATTGTAAATATAGTCAACATATCTTTATTTGCTCATAAATAATCAAGAAGAGGGACTGCCCCCTATAAGCTCGCAATTGTAAATATAGTCAACATATCTTTATTTGCTCATAAATAATCAAGAAGAGGGACTGCCCCCTATAAGCTCGCAATTGTAAATATAGTCAACATATCTTTATTTGCTCATAAATAATCAAGAAGAGGGACTGCCCACTATAACTGAAGTACTCATGAGGATGGCAAGATCTTTCAATCAGAAGGTAAATGAACAAGCAAAGTCATGAGAATCATGTGGAATGTATTTTCACTTCTCATTTAAACTAGGCTACCAATAATGAAATTACAATTTGTTTTTTTTTTTTTTTAAAAAAAAAAAAAGAACCATCTCTAAAAATAAAACAAGAATAAAACCATATAGTACTTTTATCATGACTTTCAAATCAAACCAAAATACGTTTATCAGATTCGGAGATGTGTTGGAGTCATCATTTCACTAACATACATTGTGATGTTCAAAAGAAGCAAAAATTGAAAAGAAAATAGGAACAAACCTCAGGCCCAAGAAATGGTTCATAGCTGATATCACAAGAATATGGTGCCCCAACAGACTAGATGCAAAAAATCCATAGTATGATAAAGGTAATCCAAATCCGAGAGCATAAACCAACGGAAAAAAAAAAATATCCCTAAGAGCATAAACCAAAAAGGAATTTAACTTTGCAATACTGACAACTCACAGCTTCCTTGAAATTGGAAAAAAAAAATCAAATGATTTCTTGTATAAATTGTATATGGAATTGGCATGTAACCACCACAAAAGTATATTAACAGCAAACACTCATTTTCTATGAACATAGGCTGTCCTAGTTCAAGAACAAGAACAAATACACTATCACTGATTGTGAAAACAATTATGAAATTCTTACATTGATCATCCAACCAAAAGACAAATAGTAAGTACATGGCATTACACTGTCACTGTCATTGATAGCAGTTACATGCCTTAAATGAACAATGAGATGAAATCTTTTGTCTCAATTTAACACAAATTTATTTGAAAAAACAAGTTGTGAAACAAGTTGCTATTTATTTGAAAATAGCACAGATGCATATATAGTAATAAAAAACAAGTTGTGAAAGAAGTTAACAGAGCTTTTAAATCATGGCATTGTAATGGAATAGTTTTGATTAATTTTTTGTTAATTTCCCAAATGTAAAGCAAGAGATGTGACTTGAAACAACTTTTAAAACGCCATCTTCACTAATACCCCATTGACCATGCACATATATGGAACCTCTTGTCTGCTTTTGTGTGGCTTAACTTCAGCTAGGACCTAAAAAACATGATGTGAAAATGAATGCTCTCTGAACCAACTTAACAGTTGTCAAGTATCCTGTACCATACTTATTCTCTGATATGCATTTGGTTAAAATACACCCCACAGATACTTCTTATACTCCCTCCTTTTCTATGTCTTTTTAAGCCATAAAATGAGCTATAATATAGGACTAAAAGAGAAGTCCAACATAAATTTGCTAAATTACATATAGCTAAGAGGAGGCTGAACTTCAAAACCAAAACCATATTCTCTTAGGATTGTATGAATAAGTAAGGACAAATGGTGTACTGAGTCACCACAATTAACAAGAAATAAACTAATCTTCCAAGATAATAGACAATTCTTGTGAAAGAGACTAGATCGTGTGGCAATTTACTAATAATTTTGCATCTCAACTCAATTTAACAAATTCAAAATAAAATTCATTTCTTCTTTAATTTTATATACCAAAGGAATAACACTGTTTTGTATACCAAAGAGTTTGATGTAGTTGAATGATAAATACAATAGGAGCTGGACCCAAACACCAAGATCAAAGCTGAAATTATGCAAAATTAAATATCTAAACAAAATAAATAACTACTGATCACTCAATAGATTGACAAATATATACTACCACTGTCCCATTTTTTCTAAAATCAAGTGCAAGAGATTAATGCATAAAATACTTGAAATTATTTATCAAAGTTTTCTTGTAGTGACAGTGGAGTTAGACATGAAATCAAAGTTTGATTATACCCACTTACATATAGTTTATCTATCAATCATAACAATAAGATTATATACAACATCTCAGATTTAACAAACTCAAGAAGCAAAAATGAAGGGAAAAAAATGAGATAACATGTAACCTGGAACACCAAACTTAGAGAGAGTTTACCCCTTAATTGCAGTATGAGTCTTGTTTCTAAAATAGACTTATCAATTAAACTAAAAATTGATACAATTTTAAGAAACATCAAAGGGAAAATTGATGTATTAGAACATAGGAGATTAAATTGGCACCGAGAAACAAATTACAATAACTAGAGTATATATCAAACTTGTGTTTTATCTATCTATTAATTTAATTTTCTTACCCAAATACAATATCTACAGGAATCACATGCATGATACATGGCAGTGTTGTGAAAAATCACATCATAATTTTTTCAAATGAACAAGTAATAGAACCCTCAAATCAGTCTTAGCACAACCACTAAGCATGGTTGGACTGAACAAGTAATAGAACCCTCAAATCAGTCTTAGCACAACCACTAAGCATGGTTGGACTCACTCAGGTTTTTCAATATCGGAGAAGGACAGCAACATGGAACAGAATACTAAAACAGAGAAGCCTTGCAATATAAACTTAGAGATGATAAGTACACAATAACTCAAGTAAATTCATGAGGAAGCAATCACTCAAGTTCAACATCATAGCATCACATATTGAATTTCAAGATTTGACAATTATAAATTCATATTCAAATTCAAATCAAATGAACACATGGATTCAAATTGAAATCTCCCACAACAAATTTATAATTAAATATGAACTTCAAGATCAGAGAGCGAATTTACAGCCTGAAATAGCACGAGGCAAGTCAGGCAAGAGGAGAGTTGATCCAAACCCTAAGAGGAGGTTCAAGATTGTAAACCCTAGGAGAAGAATCAACGTAATGAAGATCTTGAGAGAAAGAGAGATAACTTCGACATCGAAATCGAGATTATAGACAGTAGTGCTCACCTTAGTAGACGATGCAGATGGTGATGGTGGTGGTGGTGGTGGAGCTTCGAAATCGAGAGAGAGAGAGAGAGAGAGAGCTTCGAAATCGAAATCACCTAGCTGAAGAAGGTTGAATTGTATCTTCCAAATTGAAATTGAAATCGATTCTGCTCTACGAAATCGATTTTGCTCTACGAAATCGAAATCAGTCTGAGATTGGATCACTGAACTTCGAAATTGAAATCACTTTAAGGGTTTAAAGAGAGTGAGCGAGCGAGATTCATACATTTGTGTTTCTCAGATTTGAAAGAGTGAGAGTGAGAAGATGGGTTTCTCAGATTTAGAATGAGGGTTTGAAGAGGGAGGGAGCGCGTGAGAAAGGGATAACATTTTAAGGCGCTTTTAAACGTCTTCTATCAGCTAAACGGTACCGTTTTATTTAAACCAAAATGCAACGTTTATAAAACGTCGTTAAATATTAAAAAACGTGACCTTTAACAAAACGCCGTTAAATCACACATTTCTTGTAGTGAGAGAGAATAGAAAGAAAGAATTTTGTATCTTTGTATCTTCTTCATTTTTGAATTATGTAGTACAAGTACTTGAGTTACAAGTATTCCTGCAACTGTGCTTACTACAACTTTGTGCAGTAGAATTTTAGTTTTCTGAAAACCAATTACAAGATAAAACTCAAGATTATCCTTTTTACCCTTTTCTTTTTTCTTTTATTTTCTTAGGAAGTTGTTGAGCATATGGTATATAGTTTGTTCAATTAGTTTTTAATTCCCTATCTAAATCTGCAAAATGAAAACCTCTATTGGCTATTTAGCAGCTGGTTGGTGGTTATTGTGGCTAAATGGGCCACTTTGCAGTCTTCACAAAGGATGCTAGCAATGGTTCTAAACATTGGCCATTTCGTCGTGTAACTCCTGTTTAGATTATTCAAAATGGCGTGTAACAAGGCATTGTGATTTCACTAATAGATAGCTTTTGCTGGAAATTTGAGTATCTTATCTTATCTGTTTTACTAATTGATTTGTGTGTCTTTCTCTTTGTAGCTAGCAGAAGCATCAAAAGCACAATTTTCACGTGATTACAGTGATCACTTTGCTCTTGTCCGAGCTTATGAGGGCTGGAAAGAAGCCGAAAGAGGCGAAGCTAGATATGAATACTGCTGGAAGAATTTTCTTTCTGCTCAATCAATGAAAGCTATTAATACTATGCAGAGGGAGTTCTACTCTTCACTTACGCTGTGTTTGGTAGGGGGATTTGGAGAGGGATTTGGAAAAGAAAAGGGAAAAGGTGTGTGAAACTAGGTGAAATATGGGTATGTTTTATTCACATTTCACCTACCTTTTCCATTTCCCTTTCCAAATCGCTCCTCAAATCCCCCAACCAAACACAGCATTAAAGAATATGTTTTAAATTTTAATGCTAGATGGCTGTGAATTGGATGATTATATAAGATTACAAGTGGATTTTAAATTGAAGGAATATGTAGTTTGGAATTACTTGTGGATGAAAACTTATAATAGTGGTTGACTTTAATTAAACATTGAAAAATCTAGACATCCCCTAGATGTTAATTTGTGATTATGTATCAATTTTAAGCAGTAAACAACAATCCCAATCAAACAATCAAGACAAATCGACACAACGATTTTACATGAAAAAACCACAATTGGACACCACCAATTGTGATAAAAAAAATCACGAGCAACAGCCACAAAACAATCCACTAAGAAGATATAAAGGAATTACACAGGTATAATCTCAATTACCTAGCGAATCCGCATCCCGAATTGAACCAACCCCTATGTGCCTCTTCTAACCCGTCTTCACCTCGGAACTGTCTTGACGATGAGCCACTCCAGAATCCACCAAAGCTTGAGGCTCGAATTCTTTAGAATCCACCAAAGAACAACTCTCTTTTTTGTGTAGAACAAACAAACAATCCTTTGATGTAAACTCTTTAAACTATGAGTTGAATACTTAATCAAAACATCAAAGAAAACTAGTAAAATATCCCCAGATATAAACCCTAGAACCCAAGAAGAAGATCTAGAGAAATAATCCTAAAATCTGACAGAAACACGTACTTATAGAAATCTGAATCGCGATGCTCGCTCGAGCGAAGACTCTCTCGCTCAAGCAAGGAACCAAAAACGCGTGTTTTCCATAAGTGGCCTTGCTCGAGCTAAACAACCTGCGCTCGAGCGTAAAATCATCTCTTTCAGGTTTTTATATGGACGCAGCCTTCGCTTGAGCGAGAACTCCTTCGCTCGAGCGAGCAAGGGCAGACATGCAACTTCGAATGCAATTTTGCATTTTGCTTTTGCATTTTGCTTCGGGGGCGCTGCCCCTCAACCCCGCCTGGGCGCTGCCCCAGACCTGCCAAGGGGCGTTGCCCCCTGGACCCCCGCGAGCTGATCGGGCAGCTCGATCCCCGTCATAATCAGCGAAGTGGCAATCTTGAAAGTATTAATATCACAAACTTCTCTGCAAGGCACAATTCGGGTTGGATTCACATCTAAACACTCATAGCCTCACTGAAATAAAAAGTGCAAAAATAAGTACAACTGAAAGGAGTTTTGTTCAAATGGGATTGCCAAGAAAAAAACCTAACAAACAGTTTCAGAATTTGATGATTTATATATTTTGTGGAATGTTCATGATTCAAGTGAATTGTTGGTTTGATTGATTATTGTAAATTACAGATTGTATTGAATGGATTGGATAGATTATTATGAATTATAGGTTTATTTTGTTGCATGTTGGCACAAACATTCCTTTTGGCGACCAAACTTTTTGGTCATAGAATGTGACAATTGGTGACCAAACTAAGAGGTCGTCAAATGTCACAATTGGCGACCAAAATTTTTGGTTGTGAAACGTCACAATTGCGACCTAACTTTTTAGTCATGGAATGTCATAATTGGCGACCAAATTTTTTAGTTGTGGAATGTGATAATTGACGACTAACTTTTTGGTCATGGAATGTGACAATTGGTGACTAAGATATTTGGTCGGGAAAATATCACTTTTCGCGACCAAAGTGTTTTACCGACAAAATGGATTAGTCGTAGTAATGATATATTTAGCGACCAAAAATTTAGTCGGCAAATCCAACTTTTCCCAACCAACAAAAATTTTGGTCGCGAATTACTTTTGCTGACCCTCAATTGGCGACCAAAGTAGCGACCAAAAAAATTGGTCGCGGATAACTTTTGCCGACTAAAAATGAGCTTTTAGCGACTAATTTTTTGGTCAGCAAAGGTGTTATTTCTTGTAGTGCCACTGCGATCATTTTGATTTTTTCTATAGTAACTTTATATCGTGGGTGGTGTTAACTTATGACTAATGTTATTATAATCTTAGTCAAATTTATTCCTTTAAATCAAATGTTATTATAACCTTAATCAAATTTATTGCTTTAAAGCTAATGTTTTAGAGAATATTTTTTAATGTTTTTTTAGTTTTGTAACTAAAAATATAAAATGAAAAAAATTGACATATTTAAGAATGACTTTTTGAGTTTTTATGACTAATTTGTGTACAAAATAGAAAGAATGGAAATAATTTTTTACTTTTTTGTATGACTTTTTAATCTTTTTTAATTAATTTAGCCAATTTTCAAATATAGACTAGAAATGTAAAGATTCATAATGACATTTGATTTACATTACTGAGTTTAGATTGATATTTACAATTTGCATGAAACTAGTAAGATATTGCTGCATCGTCTATGGTCCATTTAATTACATAGATAGTTAGACATAAAAGGATAGATAGTCATTGATAAGTTTGAGAGTGACCTTCTTACATTTTACATGAAACTAGTAAGGTTTTGCCCCGTCCTTTTTGGTCCATTTATTTAGCTAAATAGTTAGAAATATAAAGTTTGATAGTCACATATTTGTTTTACAATGATAAGTTTGAAAGTGACATTTAGATTTTGCATGAAACTGGCAAGTTCATGCCATGTCCTTGTTGGTCTTGATTTGCTAGATAGTTAGGTTTATATAAAAAGTGATGTTCTTTTGTGATTATTTAATTTTTTGACAAAATACTTGAAATATGTAGGACTGAATTTTTTACCTTTCATAAAAAAATGTGCAAAAAGTAAAAAGAATGAAAATTAATTTTTAACTTTTTTACATGATTTTTTAATTTTTTAACATTTTAATTTTTTAATTTATTAAATTTAGAAACACATAGTGTAAAGATTTACAGTGACATTTGATTTACAATACTAAGTTTTGATTGACCTTTACCGTTCGCATGAAACTAGTAAAGTATTGACGCATCATTTAAGGTCCATTTAATCGCATAGATAGTTAGACATATAGATAGTCATGGACAAATTTGGGAGTGGTCTTCTTACATTTTAGGGCAAATTACCAACCCCCCCTTAAGATTCAAGCAAAATATAAAATACCACTATGTTTTCAAAAATTACAAAATATCCCCTGTCAAATAACCAGTTAACGGAGGTAGCAAATTTACCAAAGTACCCTGTGTCTCCCTGAAAAAAAAAGTAGTGATGATATTCTGCAAAGAGAAGTCATGTCACGCCCATTCCATTGGAAAAACAAAGAGTGCTGCTATTAGTACTTAATTTTTTAGACCTCTTAATTCTCATTTTTTTTATTACAATTATACTCTGAAGTAAAATTACATTAAATGACAACTTTTAATGGAACACTCATCCACCAAATGAAAACAATTAGAATGACGATCTTAATATTATACACACACCTCAATTCCTATCTATACATATTCCTTACCAATCTAAACCCTAATCGTATTCTTCTTCATCACCATTCTAAACCTATGTATTCATCTTCAATGAAAAACATTTGAAACTACCTAATCAATTAATGTTTTGTTCGATGGTTTCAAATGTGTTCGGTGTTCCAAATCAATTAACGTAGTAAACAATTCTATTACAGACTCCAAGTTTCTACATATGTCTCTAGTACTTGCATAGTTACAAGTATTTGCTTTCACCATAACCCCACTATTTTGAGTCTTTCTTCTCCACTCACGACTCCTCATATGCTATCTAGTATCATTAATTATATACCCACTGAATCTTGTGGCCTTTTTACTAGGTCCCAATGCCAAAAATTTTAATCTCATCTGACAACACAACATTTTCAATAGCTAGAAACTCTTCAACCTATTTTTAAAAAGTTAACAAAATTAAACATTGACTGACAAAGAATTAAAAATTGAAAACATGAGAATTAAAAATTGGAAACATGTAAGTTATTAGTACTTACATGAGAATTGAACCATCTGGGAAACTCATCATTGTGACGGCGATCCACATCAAAATCTTCGAGACGACGATGTGACCTCTTAATAAAATCACGATGCTCCCTACGCATT